GAGGGAGGGCCGGAGGACGGCGAGGGGCAAATATCAGTGTTTGAGGCCCCAAGTATGGAGCTGTTGGACCGGAAATCCATCCGTGCGGAGGGCCTCCGGGGGTTCGATTGGTGCCCAAAGGACAATTTGATTGCCTACTGGGCCCCGGAGCGGCAGCAGCAACCTGCCCGGGTAGTCCTTGTGGAGCTCCCGTCCAAGAAAGAGGTGCGGCGTAAGCCCTTGTTCTACGTGGAGGACTGCGAACTCACGTGGCAGAACGAAGGGGAATACCTGTGCGCCCAGGTGACGCACAAAAAGCGCCAGTCCAAGAAGAAAGTCAGCCTGGAGCTCTTCCGCGTCAAGGAGGCAGGCATCGCCTTGGAAATGGTGGAAATCGACGCCACGCCCGTTCGAGACTTCGCCTGGGAGCCTGCCGGGCACCGCTTTGCCATCATCCATGGGGACGACGCGAACAGCTACCGGTTCTCTGTCTCCTTCTACTCCATGATCCACCCCACGACGGGCCAGAAGGAGGTGACCCTTCTCTATCGTTTGGAGGGGCAGAAAGCGCGCCCAGTCAACAAGCTCTTGTGGTCTCCCAACGGCTCCATCATTGTCCTGGCCAAACTTGCGGAAGCCAGTTCGCTGGAATTTTACGACGTGGACTCTCACAGCACGCTCGCCAAACGCGATGACCTGTCTCGAATCGATTATTTGAAATGGGATCCCTCGGGCCGTTACTTGACCGACGCGATCCAGCAGCCGATGGGAAATTCCTACTACAAGTACTCGTACGACAACGGCTTTCGGATGTGGACGTTCCAAGGGACGTTGATCGCGCACGTGGAGAAGAATCAATTTTACATGTTCCAATGGCGGCCTCGCCCGCCTTCCCTGTTGACGGCGGAACAGCAGAGAAAGGTCAAGAAAGACTTGCGAAAATACGAAAGGAGGTTTGACAAGGAGGACCGGGAGAAGGAGATGAACAAGAAGAAAGAAGAGTGGCGGAAAAAGGGGGCGCGGCGGGCAGAGTTCAGGGCTTTCTACGCGACCCGACTGGCGGAATTTCAGGCCCGAAAGGCTGAGTTGGTGGCGCTGCAGAAGGGATACGACGATGAGGAGCTTGAGAACTATGAAATCCGAGTGGTTACGCGGAGGATGGTGCCTTTGGGAGACCCGGAGCTTGCGGGTTAGGAGAAAAGAAAGGAGGAAAACAGGTGGTGGGAAAGATGAACGAAAGCGAACAAAATCTAGTCTCTTAATCGACCATATCGGTCCATGACGTGTCATTAGGTCAGTCGAGAATATTTAGTTGCACATCAATCTTGTGAGTTAATTGCAGTCTATTTAAGTCTTGCACTTTTAGGGAAGTCTAGATGCATGCTATGGACATGACCACAGACATCCTCAAGGGTCCTTAATTTCCACACGAAGCTCTCCTTCACAACACGATGTTTTTACGTCGCTTTCTTCGAATGACCCGCTCACTCCGATGGCGGACAACGTCATCGCCATCCCTCTCCGCACCTCTCCCGCGGTCATCAAGACGTGGTCGGGGTTGGGGTCGACGTGGCTGTGGGAGCGCCTGCTGGTGCTGACTGGGTGGGTGGAGACTAAACAGCTCCAATTCCTTCCCTGGTTGCCTCAAGACGCCTCTCTTATCCTCTTCATGCTGCGCGTCTCGAGCGTTCCCACTTCGCGTCGCTTCTTCGCCCTCGGACGCACAGGCAAGGCGATAAGCCCGTACCTCATCCGTTAATGCACTCACCAATTTTCCCTCCCGCCGTCGATACTGCCTCTCAATCCACCGCCATAGGAAAGCCTTGACCCTCCCCCGCCGCCAGATAGCCTCCATGTAATCCTCCAAGTGCCCCCATCGCCGGCGCAATGTAAGCTGTGTCCACTGTTCCCACCCGTGTGACAAACGCAGCACTCGGTCTCCCTGCTCGCCCGTCGTAAGCGCCTGCCGCTGACGACGTTGGAGGCATATGGCCCTCTTGAGGGAATGAAAAAACACCCTTCCCGACACGCGCTTTCCCTGTCCCTTCCCCACATGCCCCTCCCACCGCCCTTTCCTTTCGTATCGTCTCGCCATCGCAACCTGGGCGCTTCCAAACTCCTGCCAGTAGCTCCACCGCTGCCACCGTACCACCATTCTTCCCACGCGCCATCGCGCCGCCCGTGCCTCCATCCTGCTCAACCGTCTGCGTCGTATGCCGCGTTCCCCTTCCTTGTCCACCCACCTCCTCCATCGGCAGCGCACACTTGTCTGCAGAGCCCTCCGCGCATGCCACCGTGTCGCAACCTGCCCCCATCGCCATTGTCTACCCTGTTCTCGGGACCGGATGGCCCACTTAAAAATGGCTTCCCTCATGATGCGCTGCCAGTAATAGACCGTCTCGCGGGACGCCACCTCTGCCCGTCGGCGCTTCTTTTCCAGCACCGTTTCCCGCCATGTTCGCATGGCCTGGGAGCATCTCAAAGCGGACAAGCTTCTCTTTACCCGAGTCTCTCTGTCGGCAACGCAATTCTTCACTACCTTCACCTCTTGCCACCATTGAATCCATTTTCGAAGCCCTCGTTGTTTCCCTCCCAACACAACGCACATCAGAAAGTGCTCCTCCCATCGACGCCTCCGCTCTTTTCGTGCCTCTTTCCACCGACACCAACGACGAAGCAAACGACGCGTCACTCCCTCCGCCCATTCCATCCCAAGTTTTTCCCGCAAGGCATGCGCCCACCCGTACAAGACACGCGACAGCGTCACACTGTTCCGTATTTGCATGGCTTGCCGCACTGCCTT